ATTAAAATTTAAAACTGAGCAATTAATTTTATGATATAGCTATGTAATATGTTATTTCATTTTTATAAACTCCTTGATCAAATTTGCTTTATAATTTGGATAATATAATAGGGGGCAATCTATTAAAGAAGGGCATTAAAGCCAAAATTATTATGTAAAAGGATGCAAGTAAATTTATTCATTCAGAATCAAAAATCAGTAATTTTTTAATCAAGTATAAGCAAGGCAGTAGTTAGATGAACATAATAAAAGTAGGTTTCTTCTCTCCAGGAATAACTTTCTAGCGATGGGATAATTTTTTGAATAAAATGATTCTTTAACCAATATAACATTTAACATTATGCAAAACCATTCTTCTATTTTGATTTTTGTTTGTACAACTAATTCTTAACAGAGAGGAAGTAAATGCTTTTCTTCAGTCTTGATGTTCAATCTGGAAGTTTTTCAGATTACTTGCCAGACATTTACTTCACTCCTTTTAAATATTTGCATTTTCTTTCTATCAAAATAGACTAATTTTAACGTTTAAAAATCATGAATTATTCTAGCCATATGTGAACCTAAGATATTTAGTCAATATACTACTTAATTACCTGTGTTTTTTAGTGAAGCTAAAAATGTCCATGGCAGAATGCTCAGGGTGACCCATCCAAAGATTATTTGTATTTGGTACTTTTGATTCTCTTCACCTCCGAGACACTTCTAAACCATCCCTTCTCATCAGGTGAACTATGACGGGGAACTGCACAAACATCCACAGCTGGAAGCTGATTTGTCGGCAGTGAGAGAGATATATGGGCCACATGCAGTTTCTCTCAGGTAAACAAATACCTTTGGTGAATAAAACTAAAATTATTTGGTTGGTCATAGGGATTTTCTACTGGAGTAATTTAAATTAAAGGAAACATTGGGGGACTTAATTATATTTGAAGGTGTTTGTGAGAGATTCTGTTGTTTCTGCTTTTACAAAGTGGCATATTTAGGGCTATTTGTGTTTTTGCACATGTGGTTTAAGATTGCAGTGATTGCATTAAAGAAATTAGTTGTTTGGAGGAGTTAGTTTGCAGAAAT